TGCTAAAAGAAATTAAAGACCTAAATAAAGATATGTATGGATTTAATGCAAACTCTATAAATATTCCAATAGCTTTTACAGAATTGGAAGAAACCATCCTAAAATTCATATGTAATTTCAAGGGACTCACAATAGCCAAAATTATCTTTGAAAAGGACAATGGTGGAAATCTCATGTTTCTCTTTCAAAAGTGCAGTGCCACAAAGCAACAAAACAAAACAGTGTGGTACTGATAGGAGGAGGGACATATAAACCAAAATAGTAGAAATAAGAGTGTTAGTATTTAGTAATGAGCAGTGAAATGCAAACCAATAACATGGAAGGGTCATGGGTTTTCTTTAAATTGCTTTTAAGGCAAATAAATAATCGAGTTACATATAGAAAAATAGGTTCATAAACCCTGAGAATAAACAAAGATAAACAAAGTGAGCCAATTAAGAAATGGATCAAGAAAGAAAGATCAATAGGGTTAACTCCTGACAGGGTCTATTGGGGTCACTGTTAGGATTTATGGCCATAAGTTTCTCAATGTATTTCAGAAGAGAAATTTCTTTAGTAGTGCAGACACACCAAGGTAAAGTTTGTCTGGTCACTGACCCCCAATACCCACATCAACATAGGATTAACTTGTAGATAATGTCCCCCTGAATAGCATTGTCAGGGACTAGAAGGAAATTCTCCTTCAAAGATTAGCCTGACAGCCCCCTGGGAGACATCCTGCCTGGGAGGCATCCTGCAGCCACCTATCTCCCTGGAACATCCTGCGGTTATCAGGATCATCAGATATCTTGCACCTGGCAGTTTTACCACCCACATCCAGCAGTTGTTGATTAGAGAGCTTCCCCATCCCCAGCATATAAATACCCCTGTGTGAACAATAAAAGTTTGCAGCTTGATCAGACACCTGTCTTGCTGTCATCCTTCTGTGTCTCTTGTCCCTTCATTCCTCCCCATCTAGGTTCACTGCCCACGTTGATGTGTCCTGCCGGACGGGACATAGCATGGCCATCATGACTGTTAAAAACTCTCCCACCCAACATGAAGGAAGAGTTGAACATCTAATTGGCAAAGAGTGTACAAGGTGGACCCCAGCTTTCAAGGCACCCATAAAACAGCAATATATTTGAAAACAGTACTGTTTCCTTTGTTGTTCTACACTTGGAGACAGCCTATTCTCTTGCTTGGCTTTTCATGTCTGATGTTAAATCTTCTTTCATTGCAACCACAAGAACTGAGATTTGGAGCTACCGCTCCTCACTCTTCTGTGACAAGAACACGAAAATAAATCCTCATATATATGGTCAAATAATTTTTGACAAGGGTATGAAAACCATTCAGTGGAGAATAAACAAGTTTTGTTTTTGTTGTTTCATGTGGTATGGGTGGGTTGGACCCAGGGCCTAGTACATGTTAGGAAAGCATACTACCCCTGAGCATACTCCCCAAAATTTTATTTATTTTTTGTTGGGTACCCATGATAGAATACAGGGGGGCTTCACCACTGAGCCATTATTTATTTATTTGTAAATTTTGAGACAGAGTCTCACTAAGTTACTTAGGATGGGCTTGAACTTGCAATCTTGTCTCAGCCTCAGCAGTCTCTACAATTACAGGCATGCATCACCAACACCAGGCCATCCCCAAATCTTTTTTTTTTTTTTATTTTGAGACAGGGTCTGGCTAAGTTGCCAGACTGGCCTTGAATTTGTGATCCTCCTGCCTCAGCCTTCCAAGTAATTGAGATTATGGGTGTGTGTCACCAGACCTGGCAGAACAATCTTTTTTAAAAAATATGTTTTAGTTGTAGATGGACACAATACCTTTATTTATTTATCTTTATGTAATGCTGAGGATCAAACCCTGGGACTCACCCATGCTAGGTGAATGCTCTACCACTGAGCCACAACCCCAGCCCCTGGAACAGTCTTTTTAACAAATGGAACAAGTTGGATATCCACATGCAAAAGAATGAGGTTGTACCCTTACCTTATACCATACAAAAAATTAACTCAAAATGGATCTAAGGCCTGAATTTAAAAGCTAAAGTTATAAAATCCTGAGAGGAAAACAGAAAAATCTTCATAGCTTTGGATTTGGCAATGGTTTCTTAAACATGACAAGATAAACTGAACCTAATCAAAATTAGATACTTGTGGATCAAAGGACCTTATTAAGAGTGAGAAGACAATTCACAAAATGGGAGAAAATATTTGCAAATCATATAAGGATTTAATAACCAGAATATATAAAGAACTTTTGCCAGCATGGTGGTACATAACTGTAATCCCAGCAGCTCGGGAGGCTGAGGCAGGAGGATCACAAGTTCAAAGTCAGTCTCAGCAATTTAGAGAGGACTAAGTAACTTAGTGCAACCCTGTCTCAAAATAATATTTTTTAAAAAGTGGGGACTGGGGATGTGGCTCAGTGGTTAAGTACCTCTGGGTTCATTCCCCAGCACCAAAACAACAAAAACTAAAACAAAAAACAAACTCTTACAACTCAATAATCAAAAGATAAACAGCCCAATTAAAAATGACCTTACTTATGGGCCTGGGGATATAGCTCAGTTGGTAGAGTGCTTGCCTCACATGTACAAGGCCCTGGGTTCAATTCCCAGCACCAAAAAAAAAATACACATAACTAAAAAAATGATCTTACTTATATGTGGAATCTGACAAAGCTGAACTTAAAGAACCTGACTGCAGAATGGTGGTTGTCGGGGGTTAGGGGTATTGGGGGTGAGGGAAAGATGTTGGTCAAAGGGTACAAAGTTTCAGATATTTAGTATAAATAAATTCTAGAGATCTATTGTACAGCATAGTGACTATAGTTAATAATAACTTATACTTCAAAATTGCAAAGAAAGTGGATCTGAAATGTTTCTCCATGAAAAATGATAACTAAGTGATGATGAGTATGCACATTAACTTGACTGTGGTAATCTTTTCCCACTGTATACATGTATCAAAATATCACATTGGAATGGGGATGTAGCTCACTCGTAAAGAGTTAGCCTAGCTCCCAAAAAAATGTTTGCATAACATAATGAGGCCCTGAATTCAAACCCTAGTGCTGCAAAAACTAGCATTATGCATTATAAATATATACAATTTTTTCAGTTATACCTCAAAAAAGTTAGAAAAATGGGAGAAAGAATATAGGTGGTGAAAGTGAAATGAGATATTAGATTTCCAAAATATCAATGTCACCCCATAAAATCCTTACTAATAACCAAGGGAAACTACTCAAGGTTATGGTACAAACACCTGGAAGTCTACAGTGCAAAAACCTGGAAGACACCATTTTAATCAAGAGATCAAAATGAGCACAACCCATAATAGGATAAACCAATTCTTTATGCCACCAAATAGGAAGGTATGAAGAGAACATATAATTTCTCATGTGATTAGCTGGCATCAAATTCATAACCTATTCCAATAATAAGGAAACTGAATACACTCAAATTAAGTCAAATTCTATAAACTCTCAAGGTCATGAATGTCAAGGCAAGAATGAAGCAGTATTCTAGATTAAAGAAGACTAGAGACATTTACTCCTACACTGAATCCATTTTTATATAGGTCATTACTAGAAAACTTGAATCTAGAGTCTCTGGCAAAGGATATACAGGAGTTCTTTGTACTACTCTTCTGAGTTTTCTGTAAATATGAAATTGTTTTTAAATATTTTAAAGCCTGGAAAAATGCCTAGAACATAATAGGCAACATATAAGTATTTACTGAATTATGTTCTATATTATAAAGCAGAATTTTGGGGAAAAAACAATCTCACAAGTAGGTACAACTTATGGAACCCTAAAAATAGTCTCTTTGATATCCAACTATATCTCTGTGAATGCCCACAGTAAGAGTAAAAACTGAAGTAAACATAAACACTGAACAAAACAAAAAAACAAAAAACAAAGAAAGAATGGAAAAGGGAGATAAAGAAGCAAAGCAAAAATGCTATAAATTTAGAAATTTTGATGAGAACCAATCCAGGAAACAAATTTTATCCTATCAAATCTATCATACCTCCAAATCTCAGTATAGAAAAAATAATATGGCAGTGACCTAATTAACTGCTTTCGACCCTGTCAGTAGTAAAATAGACTCATTTTTTCTTTCTTTCATTGTGTAGCATGAAATATGGAAGAAATAGTTGCAAGATGATTTGGCAATAAAAGGAAAAGCAAAGAAATCTTAAGAAATAACCTGTAAGGGTAAAAGAAATTGAAGTTAAAGCGTAAAAGTTAAAGGGTAAAAGACCGGGTGTTGTAAAGTTTCTAAGCTGCAAGGTCTGAGTTAAAATGTAAAGGATTAGGTATTGTTAGGTTCCTATGCTACCTGCAAAACCTGAAATTTCTGTAGCTGTTAAGACAATGCTTGGAACTGCCCAGTAAATATTTCCCCTGACTATTTGGTTGTTTAATAAAGGCTCTGTGTGGTCGCACGTAGGCATTGCAGGGCCTGGACCAATCAGTTTAAATGTGACCCCCTCCTTAGGAATGACCTATCACTCCAGCCTGACCTGTTCCCGCCAATGAATGAACTAATCATGTTTAGGAGTTGTTGTTCAATTTTCCCGCGCCTCATGATGATTTGTTCTGATGTATACAAAGCCCTCCGCCCTCCCAAAAAAGTGTACTTAAGCAGTGCTCAGCCCCTGCTCGGGGCTCTGGCTGCTTTCCCTTCTTGAGTGGGCACGGAGCCCCAGCATGCTGGTTCAATAAATCCCCCTTCTGCCAATTGCATGAGTGGTCACTTGGTGGTCTCTTTCTCCGACGTTTCACCGGACCCTTACAAACCCATATCACTTTTTCAAATGCCCTTTCTGATAAAGACAAAGGAAGCAAAATATTTCAAAGATCAGCTAAGTCAATGGAACTGATCTCAAAATAGAATCTCCAAAAGGTTTCATGCAGTAGTAATGATTCTTCCTGGAAATTGAAAGAGTACATTTTCAAACTCTTGGAAAATAAATGCAGAAATTTCACTCACCATTTTGGGAAGCCTCATCAACATATCTTTACAACGCAATGCACATGTAGATGCTCTTTGAAAATCCCCTTGAGCAACTGCCTGAGAAAGAGAATGTCAGTAATTGGTTAAAATGAAATGACAAGGAGTTTGTCTCTAAGTCAGTTTTATCATATTTTAACTACTATTATAAAGTCTTACTTTGTTTTCTAATCTTTTCCACAATGCTAGTTGGTCTAACTAAACATAAAAGCCAGCTCAAAATACAGAGGAATAAGTGATAAGAATCTTTAGTAACAATGTAGATAATGAATGAATGGCAGTCACTTTTTCTGTAAATGCAAAAACTTGAGTACTACCTTATGTTATCATATTATGATATAATGCCATGTCTAACAAAATGATGCTATTATTTAAATAGCTCTTTTATTTATCTTCACATTAGAGGAATTAAACAGCAATCTTTTGTCCTAAAACAAGCTCACAATAACCTTACAGTCTGAACTGCTGGGAATATCTACTATCAAAGTGAGTTTATTGTAATGCCACCTTGAAGCCAAAAAGTCATTCTGCTTTCTTTCTTCCTTTCTCTCTGTTGTCATTCATTCAATTTATTCAATTATTTTGGTAGTGAGGATTGAACCCAGGGACACTTTAACACTTTTTTTTTGAGACAGAGTCTCACTAAATTGCTTAGGGCCTCTCTAACTTGCTAAGGCTGGCCTCAAATTTGTGATCCTCTGCCTCAGCCTCCCAAGCACCAGACTCTGCCATTTATTAGCTGTTAACTTTCCTAGCTTCTGTTTCCTCACCTAAAAAATAAGGAGACTATACTAGATATCTCTAGGGCTCCTTTCAGCTCTACCAATCTATGACTGAAAACCTTCAAATGAACAAAAAGATCAATCATGAATTGTTTAAGCACTTGTAGAAGAGGGCTGTTTCAGCCATTTATGAATTTAGCTGACAAAATATTTTTTAAAAACATGGACACATACAAGAAAATAATTTTATAAAGTACTTTCCAAGGAGGGAAAATCCCTCCATTTGCTATTTTCTTTCCTTTTCTTTATATGGTGTCAAATATTCTCATGCTTTGAATAAGAAAGGGATTGATGGGCTGGGGGTGTAACTGTGGTTGAGTGATTGCCTAGCATGCTGGAGGTCCTGAAATTGATCCCTAGTACAACCAAAAAGAAATGGATTTAGTAGAGAAGAAAAGATAAAGATTCTAAAATATTGGAGCTGTGAGTACAGCTCAGAGATAAAGAGCCCACTTAGCATGTGCATGCCCAGCACAAGGAAAAAAAAAAAGAAATGCCAATTCCTTTTTAGTTTTCTCCTCCATCAACCTGATGAATATTAACCTTGACATGTTGCTAAGTAGAGACCTTCCTCTAAAGGTTTAATTCTAGATCTTATTAAAAAGGAAAACAAATTGCTAACAAAAGAGCCTCTAAAGCCAAACTTCTATCTATAGATATTACAAAATAATATCCCCATCCACACAATAAATATCCAACAAATACTTGCTAATGGAGTCATGATTCAAGGCACACAAAATCTTGTTATTAAAAAGAAATGCTGAGTGACAAATGCCATATCAGAGGATGTTATTTTCTGTTCTTATATTAAGCAATCTGAGACTTCAATGCTCAAAAAAACCCACAAAATGTTTATGGTTACTCAGATTTTATTCTAGAGAAATCAAAGCTCTAAGAATACAAGTTATTTTGGAAAAATTGTTCATATTCTTGAAGCCAAAATTCAGTATTTCAAGCCCAAAGCATAGAGAACTCAAACAAAAGAATCCCTAAAGAAGAGGCAGGGCTGCAGGTGTAGCTGGGTAATAGAACACTTACTTAGTGTGGCAAGGCCCCAGCATGACAACAAAGAAGAAAAAGAAGAAGCATGACACAATACTGTAGCAACCTTTGATGAACATCTGAAAACCACAAGCCCTGGTTTCACCACTTAGAGACTGTGAGCCATTAGATCAGGTATGATGCCCTAACTATACTGATGTAATGAAAGAATGTGGATTTTGGATTCGCAGCTTTTCCATTTCTTTGCTCAGTCACAACTTCCTTAAGTCAAAATTTCCCTTCTTTCTTTCCTTCCTCCCTCCCACCCTCCCTCCCCCACTTCCTTCTCTCTCTCTCTCTCTTTTTTTAGACAGCATCTTGCTAACTTGCTAACCCAGGGCCTTGCACATGCTAGGCAAACACTCTGCCACTGAGGTATATCCCCAGCTCTGAAACAAAAACTTACAGCCGCACAAAAACCTGCACACAAATGTCTCTGTCAACTTTATTTGCAATAGTTAAAAATTGGAAAACCCCAAATTCCTTCAATGGTGAATGGCCAAACTGTGGTACATCCATAGTGTAGGATTCTACTTGGCAATAAAACAGGACGTACTATTGATATACAGAAACAAAACTTGGATGGACCTCAAAGGAATTATGCTGAGTGAAAAGAGCCAATATCCAAAGGTATACATATTGTATAATTCCATTTACTTAACATTCTCAAAATGACAAAACTATAGAGATGGAGAATAGGTTATTGGTTCCCTGGGGTTAGGGATGGGGATATTTGTGGTGATGAAATTGTTCTGTATCTTGATTGGGGGTGTGTGGTTAACATGAATATATACATGTCAATAAAATTGTACAGAACTACAAACACACAAAATTTAATGTATGTAAAACTGGGGAAACTTAAATAAGGTTTGTGGATTGTACCCACGTCTATTTCCTAGTTTTATATTGCACTAAATATACACACAAAATGTTTCCATTGGGGAAAAACCGGGTGAAGATTACACCAAATTTCTCTTTACTATTTTTGCAGCTTCCTGTGAGTCTATAATTATTTCAAAATAAAGTTTTAAAAACCACATTTGTTAATATCACCACCAATTCCATGAGAAAAAGTCTAAGTACTGGAGGATTTTTTGTTTTTTTTTTTCAACAAGTCAACATAGTTTATTACTTTTGCACAGACTATTTCAAGGAGTTTAAACAAATAGTGGGGGGGGGAGTGACAGGTGTCCTTCACATCCAGGATCTCCTCAGGAGCCAGAACTCCAGCTGTGACTTCCCCCAGGCCAGGACAGGGGAGGGAACACCTGTTCTCCACATGCACGTGCAGAGGAAGCCAGCAGCTCGCACCCAAGTCATGCTTAATAAAAATAGTATATCATCTTCACAAGGAATAAAAACTAGTCTCAGATATATACAGCAAAGAGTGCGAGGTGACCTTCTGGGCTGGATCCCCCATGATGTGAGAGGCCAAGAGTAAAACAAAAGGGAGAGGGAAGCTTAAAGATGTCCAGGTGAGGCCACCCTGACCTTGGCAGCCCAGCTGCCCAAACTAGACAGAGGTGGGGCACTTGCTTGGCTGGGAAGAACAAACTCCTCCAGTCAATCACATCCCTATCTTGTACACCAGGTTCTCCTTCCTACCCATCTTGTCTGAGATAGGAAAGACCTCAGGGCTCCTATACCTGCTCCCTATAGCTTCTCTTCACCTGTGGGCTAAGGCCCCTGAGCTTCTGAACTCCATGACCCCACAGATAACAGCCTAGGGCAAAGATGCCACAGGCTGAACTCCTTACAGGAAGTGAGAAACCTGAGGCCATAAACAGCTCTGGGGTACATGTCTTGGGCCCAGTTGGTCCATTAGTCATGGTAATGTTTCCTGGAGCTATAGCCTCCCTCCTGGATGAGACTGACCTCTAGCCAGAGGCCTCTGGAACATTCAAAGTCGAAGTATTTGGAAGCTAACGTGCTCTTGGTAGAAGTATAAGTTTCCCAACATTCTAATTTTTAACTAAAAGCTAAAACTTTATAACTGCAAACATCACTGGTCCCATGAAAAAAAAAATTATCACTGGCAAAAATGCTCTCCACTGATTTCCCTGAAGTCATATACTCCATTCATTTTTATGAAAATATCTGCTAAATACCCAAGTATACATGAACAAAGTCTGCATCAGTTATGCTTTCAAGTGAGTTTCTAATTCAGCTCATAAGTTAAACAATCACCTAAGGACATTTCCTCAATACAGCCATCACAGAAGTGCTCTATGTGTACTTCCTTTTTCATCACAGAATATTAAAACGTATCTGCTGGGCATCACAGCACATACTTGTAATCCCAGCAACTCAGGAGGCTGAGGCAGGAGAACTGCAAGTTCAAGGGCAGCCTCAGAAACTTAGTGAGGCACTGTCTTAGTGAGACTTTGTCACAAAAAACAAAAATTAAAAAAGTCTGGAGTTGTGGCTCAGTGATTAAGTGCCCCTAGATTCAATCCCCAGTATGAAAAAACTAAAAAAATAAATAATTAAAACAATATGTCCTCCAAGTTAAAAATTTAATAAAAGTAATCATCTTTACTGCCTCATTAAGGATATTTTAAAGTAAAACTGACTGATAAAATATCTACTAGAGAAGTACAAGCTATTGTCTTGATTTACATCTAAGCATCAGCCATTTTAACATTGTTGCTTTTGTGCCACTAACACAAAAACTAATATAGCAAAAAAATAAAAATAACATTTTAGAATTTTGAAAATAGTTTTGACCTCTCAGAATGCTAACCCAACTTCCATTGCCTCACTCCATTCAGTCCTTAAATCTCTACACTCTGTCTTCTACTTTTACCTTGCTACTGAAAACTTTTTTCTGTAGTCACTGTCACCTTCCTGAAGGCCATGTCTAAACACCTCCATTGCAACCTCACTTTCTTTATTTCTCTGAAGCATTGGCTACTACTAACCATCTAAGTTTCCTTCTCATACATGACTCACTGTACTAATCTTTCATTTCTTATTTGATCTCCGTCCTTTCTGCTTATTCTAGTTTTGACTACATGTCCCCAAACACACCTCCTGGCAACAAGTATATGTGGAATGAATAAGCTTTCTTATCATGCATCCTTTCCTTTCTCTAAAACTTAAGTGGTTCAAGTCCTCACTGAGCATAAATGCTTGCTTCCATTTTAATGTCTCCTGTATCTGCCCTATCTTACCCAATGCTTATTACTTTTTACTTTTTAAAAATATCTTTTTAGTTGTTGATGGGCCTTTATTTTA